ATATATATATATATATATATATCCCATTTCTGATTTATGTACTATGATTTCTTCTTGATTACTTTAATTTTGAAATGCTAATAACTAATAAGTATTTAGAAATTAGAATATTTGTCACAGGTTTCTAAAACTTATGCTTTCTCTGCTATCAGTTCCAAATTTCTTTGTCTATTGAGCACTTGATGAAACCTGCTTGTCAAATCCCTAATGGATTTTGGTGCAAGTTTCTAATTTAATCTTAAGGAACCCAATACATATTATTTTGAAATATATTGTATAAATATTTATGCAATATAAGTGAAATGATTTGTGGCTTATGTGTGTGTGTCTTTGTGTAAGATATGAATATAATTTGTTTATTGTGTTATAATTTTGAGGGATCTCAAAATTTGTAAATTATAGTTAATAACAAGAGAATTCATCATATTACATAATTTTGATCCTTGTAAATAACATTATTTAATTTTTATTATGAGAATCTTATATTTTTACAGGGTACGTGGTTTTAGATGGGATGTGGCCTTTATAGGATATTTAATTTCATTTCTATTGTTTCACTTCTGCCTTTTAGGGATTACAGAGGGTTTCCTCTGCTGTAACTGTAAGGAGTCAATCTCCATATTTCCTAACCCAAGTTCCTTTAAATTTCTAATGATTGACTGTGATGAATCCTATGCATGCATATTTCATGAATTCTAATTGTGGCATGTAGTTTGTTAGTAAAACATTTTCCATGTAGTCATGTTGTGTTGCACAATAACTTCGCAACCTTTTGCAGCTATTTGAAGTTCATCTTGATAATCCAGAAGTGCTCCTCCGGTATTCATCTGCTCTGGTTCAAGGTGCCACAAATGTTTTCTGGTATGAATGCAGGCTATCACAATAGAAAACTTTACTTAATTGACTATTATTTGCGGAAGCCAGGCTTCAATAGTTACAATTCTATCGACTTTCATTTTCATGTCTGGACAAAATGTATGAACTTCCTTTCATGCTCTATTCTGCTCCTAATTGTTAAGAAGAATATTTGTAGGCACCCTTCATTATTTCTTTTAAAAAAATCATAAACATTTTGCTTTACCTGGTTTTGCTATGCCAATTCAATAGCAATCCATTCAAGTTTATCCCCTCTATATAAAACAAAGCAGAAAGTAATGGCAAATATTATCAAGATTGTCTTGGCTAGAACATCTGCTGTAGTTCAGTGCCATACGGTACCATACTCATAAATTCAATCTGGGATGATATTGCAATAATATATTTTGATACCATGTACAGGATTGACATTCAAACAAATACAAGACGATTCCAGTCTTTATTCCGTGTAAGAGTCCTAGAAGGAATCTAGTGTGTTTATTTGCACTGACATGGATCATCTGACTAATGTTGTGACTTGTGATTATTGCTTTCTTTTCCCAATTCCTTTGCATGTTCCTTGTGTTTCCCTCAAGTTCAGTACCTTTTGGAAGATGTTGCATTAGACCACACTCGATTGAATAAAATTCCTTTCCAGGTTAGATTAACCCTATAAGTTGTAGTTTTTGACATTAGATAAATACTGGCGACAATTATTTGCTAGACTCTTGAATTACAATATTATTTCTAGCAATGGCATTCTGAAATTCTTTACTTTTCACCCTATTATTAGGCTCAGCGGGATACGTATCTCTTGCTCTCAAGATTCATTATATTTTACAACAAAGGTAGGCAGACATTTGGGGGAGTGGATTTGCCCATAAATGAAAATGTACTAGCCCTTTAAAACACAATAATATTTTCTTTGCAGCTGACAAAATAGATAGCTTCTTGAAACAATGTCCTGCTTTCCCAACTGCCTTCTTAATCGGTGGTCCAGCAGATATATTTGTTACTGAACTCACTGATCAGGTAAGGTACATTTGTATTACCTTTTCATAATTAAGAGCCGTATCCTCTGTTTCGTATCAAGACATGACAATGTTACCCTTAATGTATGGCGTCGATTTTGTTGTCACTTATCAGCTTCAAAAGCTAAAGGTGGAACCAGTGCTGCTTCATTACCTATCTGAAATGAAGATCCTTCAGGGTACTCTATCAACCATTTAGGTTCAATATTTGAACAGGGACTCTATTTGTATCTCATCCTGATTTAGCTATGCCATTCTTTTGTTTATGATAATGGCACAGGTATGGAATTGCGAATGACTACTAGTACGAGATTAAAAACTTGTTTGTATAGCTTTACTTCTCCTGGTGGCCCACTGTATCCTACTCGAGCCGTTCGTCATGCAGCTTGGGAAGCATTAGATTTACTTTTCCCGGTTAGTATTTTTTTTAATTAATTCGTACTTTTGTGAAATTAGTACCACTAAATAATGCATGAATTCAAGGTAGCCATAAATAAGAAAGTGTCCCTCGTTAAGAAGTATTTAACTTCAATTAGAAGCTTAAAAGTTTTGTTGGTAGGTGGCATTATGTCATTAATCTATGGTGTAAAATTATTTAAGCTACCGATAGATTAATCTAAGAACCAGCGCATAAATGCAGCTTTATTTTTTTTCTTTTAGTTATTCAACTGATTTCCCAAGGGACAAATTGCTGTTATTCGTAATAACAGAAACTCTGTTATCTGTTATAGCCATTCTTGTACATTCGATAGAAATAGATAGAGTTGAACATAATAAAATATATGCCACACAATTCGTGTTTTATTAAGAGACATACAACACTTCTAAAGGCAACGAGAACATCATAATTCTTGGGAGCGAGCTATCAATGTTCCACTATATAAATCATGTTATTGTTATACCATGATAAAAGTTCACTACGTAAATAATGTTTGTTATACAATGATACAGGTGGGACGTTACCCTCGGCATCTTATTAGTTTGTTCTTCAGGTTGCTTTATCCGTGGTATTGGCCTTCCTCTTGTTGGAACTTTGTGATTTCTTGCTTTCAGACAATATTTTACTCCTTGATGAGGTTCATTTTTTCTACGTGGGATAAGATCACCAAGCCAAAATCACATTAGATTCTCATGCCTGTACAGAACTCCGTGATACCTTCCCATCGATCTCGCGCCTCGACCTTTTTTTCGTGTCGTTAGTGAAAATTTGTGTACAAACAAACTAGCTAATGCTTTGTATATTTGTTGACTGTGGCAACAGTTAAGCTTAGAATTCCAAGTACAGGTAAGCTGAGAATTCTTGGGGAATAAAAAGATGATTAGAAAATGATGGAATCATTATGTAATTAATTAAAGGAAGAAAAACTAACAAGTCATATTGTTGCAATATTTTCTGGTGGTTAAATTATACAAATGAACAAATGGTTTTTCTAACTATGTAATTTTTTCTATCTTTATCAAAAATTAAATGGTTTTTCTATTGTCTTATTTTAATCATTTATTTTCGAAAACGTTTACGTACTTGAGTATCATTTTTCTCGATTTTCAAAAATTATATTAAGAGAAAATTATAAGTGTTAATATTTTGTATTTGTAAAAGCTAACGTTTACACGTCAATTATGCCCAGTGATGCCCAGTGCTTACGACTATAATCATATTTTGTGCCTTTTATTAATTGTAAAGAATTAGAAAACGTGTAAATAGAATATGTCAAAGTATTGGGATAGCAACAGCTCCAAAGAGCAGAATTGAAATTTATTCATTAGTTCCGAATAGCTTCATGCAAGGCAATAGATCATATAACAATCCAAGTTGCAATATACTCAACTATCGATTATACCTTTTCATCATTAGATCCGAAAAGTTTCCTGCAAAGCAATAGATCACATAGCAATCCAAAATATTCAATTATCGATTATACCTATATAAACAATCATTGTTTAGGTAAGTTAAAAAGCGATCGAGATATTTTTCAGTAACATTTTTGGGCAAGCAAATGATCGAGATATTTTCTGCAGAAAAGAGTATATATTACTGAAAATAGCTTGTTTATGTGGAAAGAAAAATGATGGGATTTAATTTTGTTCCAATCATACTATTAAAAAAAACGGAAATTATGAGAGTTAATCTTTTAACAAACACGGGAGGGTAGCTGTCGAAAACAACCATAAATTCAGTCAAACAGAAGAATCCGCGCATATTATTTACGTTATAAATTATTCGCCCACTTAGCCAAATGACAACTCTTTGGCTATTGAACTACTGCCAGTTAATAAAAAGGTCATTAAAGGAAAAACGTTACACTAGGTTTCCCACAGCTAAGGAGGGGGCATATATATATCTTGTTATATTACCAACTCCTATCTTAGAAACCATCTCTAACTAGCATATAAAGTAAGGCAACCACTTCTAACTGTCCTTTCACTGTGTCTCAGTTCCAACCAGTTATATATTGCTTGAAAAATGCACCAGCACGTAACCTTTAAACCTCAAAATAACAGCTGAGAGACAACATAACCTGAATGAGCATGACGAGTGAATGTAAAATAAATACTAACTCCTATAGCATTCCCTATCCGGGAGTGGTATCTTCATCTGTAGACTTGTATCTTGACCAGTGCTATCAGCCGATGAAGAAGACAAATAGAACAGATGATAGATTCCATCTCACTAGATGATAAACCAAAATTACCACACAGTCAGGAAAGATATTCTCACCTATAACATACACGAACATCTCAAGATAACAAACCTAGTTAGACATCATCAAACAAGATAAGTATAGCACAACAAGGCAAGGTCATAATATAATAAACAAGAGATCACGACTCTTTTCTTGGGGAATGGGGCGTTAAAAGAAGAGGCAGGGAATCTACCTTACTTGAAGATTCCACTGAAATGAGATGGTTTAACCAAAACAATAAAGCAGCTGTGGGTGAAATCTTCAGCCTCCCACATTGTGAAGCCAAACACTTCTTAGTGCATTGATAGACCACATCATGGTTCCCACTTCCATAATCCACATCCACATGTTAAAACAAATTAAAGCCAATGAAAGCAAGCTTGACTGCATATTATATGCTGACTTCTGATTCTTAATCCACATTTCATACCCAACAAAATGAATAATAGACAACAGAAGCCCAAACTCCATGTGACAAGTCTAAAAGTTTTCACTCAAGAAATCCATTCCCTTTCCCTAAAAGGTAGGGCTGCAACATACATAATACACATGGTGTTCCATCACCAAGCCCCTAATAACCATAGATGTAACAGCAAGAAAATATAATATGGGTAACTCATTCAGTTTGCATTGCCTCTGAATGATACTTCTCCAAATCAGCATCAAGATCTTCTGCGGATACCTTTTCGCCACGACCTCCTCCACCACGACCTCTTCCACGTCCTCGATCCCTTCGAATGCCTTGTCCTCTTCCTCCTGGCCTTCTTAATGCACCACCTCTTCCTTGTCCACTGAGCCAGATCAATAGCACATACGGTAAGATCTTAATGCAGGGAAAAAAAAAAAACTTAACCATCACAAGCAAAAAAAAAAAAGTATTTCTTGATAAAGCATCAAATGCCATGTCATGAAATAGGTCGATTATTCAAATTAAATGACAAAACAAAATCCAAAAGTGAAAATAGAACACTTTAAAGATGTAGTACGGAAACAAAGAAACACATCCTTCTCGCATCCATTGAGAACAGCTAGCAACAGGAACACTAGTGACAGTCATCATTAACTAATTGCAAACATCATAAAGCATAACCCATTAAGCTTTCTAGCGAGAATAAAAATGTATTCAGTTTCCAAGCATAGCAATATATACACATCCAAAATTACCAGTCAAATCTACAGAGGGAAAAAAGGCAAATCGAAGGACATAGAATGCAAGAAAGGACCACAAATCCAAAAATCAAATTTAAAAAAACAGATTATTAAAGAACTTAGTCATTAAGCAAGTGTATACCTTCGAGGAACTCCATTAAAGTTTCCAATAGCTCCATTTGTGGCAGGAGCCACACCAGGTGTAGCAATGTTGGTTCCCACAATCTCTATCTTCATTGGTTTCCCATCTAGCTGAACATTGTTGTACCTTTTTACAGCAGCCACGGCATCAGATCGTCGTGAAAATACTACTTCAGCCGTACCCTATGAAAAAGAGATTTTATAAACTACTGCAGAACAGAACAAATTGAACAGAAAGACCATATTATGCCAACAGGATAACATACCTTCGATCTGCCACTTCTGTCATAATGAACCCCGTGCCGTTTCATGTCACCAACTTCAGAAAACAATTCCTGAGTAGTACAAAAATTGAATTTCAAACTCTGAAAGAAAAACTGTAAGGGTGTACCAATTTTTTTCTTATTTTGGAAGAATATACAATTGTAATTAAATAATTGCTTTCTTTATAAATAAAATACTAGGCATATCAGATTTCTGGGAATAATATAGGCAGACCAGAGTAGTCAAAGGCACACCTACGGGTCTGTTTGAGAGTTGGGTATTGCAAGGCCAGGGAACAGAGGACGATTTCTTTTATTTTAAAACTTGGGAGAGTTATATACAGTTTACAAAAACTAAATAAAAGATTAGGGCATTAAGTTTATATTAATTATTTTAAAAATTCATTGAACAAGAGAATATTTATTAGAAATATAATCCCTAGCCTTTTCCTCCCATCAGCCGCCACCTACTCTCAAATAATAATAAAAAAAAACTAAAATGACAGCGGTTTCAGGGGTATTCTTGACTTTCAATGTGCCATCAAAAGAGTGGCCATGAAACCGTTACTTCCAACAATTTTTTGCGAAAGGTTCGAAAATGGAAGCAACAGGGGATGCTCCACTCTGCCACCCCGCAATCGCAGAGCTATTGCAAGCGATTGACTACTCTGATTACAATAAACTCCAAGCTCAAATTTATAGCACACACCTTCAAGTGAGACGTTTGGAAACAATTAACTTTGGGAAAATAAACACAATCTCTCTTGGGAAATTGGCAAAAATATACAATTATTTTTCTAAAACACGATTATCGCCCCCCCCCCCCCAAAAAAATACAAAAAAAATGAGTGACAACTGTTAGGTCTGCGTGAGAGCCCAGGCAGAGGAAAAGTAATAAGAAGCATAAAGAGCAACCAATTTCAAATTGATACAGCAACAACCCTAAATCACAAAGATCCTTGCACAAACCTATTCACAGTTCGCATAACATTAACCCGTGTGCATCCCTCACAAAATCTGTGCAAGTACCTTCTTCTTCCTTAATAAAATACGGAGCCTCTCTCAAAATAGAACAAGAATTCCAAACAAACTCCCAAATATCATCTCATGACTCATACTAAAATTCCAGGTCATGCCAAATGAAAACAGACACAAACACAAGGCCATACACCAAAAAAAAAAAACAGAGATAGTTATTATTATTACCTTGATATCATCGTTGGAAACTCCAAAATCCAAGTTCGAAATGTAAAGTTTGGTCCCAGTCTCAATGGAAGGCGCACGGCCTCCTTGAGCAGGGTATCCCCCCACAGCCACGTGCTGATCTGCATACATATCGTGCTGCCACGTGGCCTCCGGCGCCTGAATTCGACGATTAAACAAATCCGACGCAAAATTAGGGTTCCGGATCGAAAACCGAACGCATCAAAATTAATAGCAGCACGATCCAGGAAGGTACCTTAGCGGTGGAATAAGGAGCGGCGCGGTTGGCGGCTCGGTTAGAGAAGCGGCGAGAAGGTCCAGGTCCCGATCTGGAGGTTCGGGCGCCGCGGCCACGCGAGTTTCCGGATCCAGATTTTTTGTTGTTCTTGATTATGTCGTCGAGGGTCATATCGAGAGCTGCAGACATGGTTGCTAACGAGAGAGAGAGATTAGGGTTTCTGCAACAACGAGCTCTGAGAGTGAAAGGGGAAGAAGCGTAAGGTTTCGTTCAAAGGAAGTTGATGGAAGAGAGAGGGTGGGAGAATTACAACCCTTATTTAAAACATTATTTTTTAATAAAAACCTCATCTGGACTGGATCTGCTATTTAAATACTTTTATTTTTTTTACAGCATTTACTGATTTTAAATAATATAAATTAATAATTTTAATTATATATCTTTCACAGCATTTAGTGATTTTTTATTTATTTTAATCATTTATTTTTTAAATTTGAATAATTGGGTACAATAAATTGATATAAAATATATTCCAAATTTGAAAATGTTATTGAAAATAAATGTTAAAAAGTAAGATAAAAAAGTTTAATTTAATTTTGTTAATAATATAAATAAGCTAAGTGATATTTAATTAGGATTATGGAGATTTTCAAATAATGTATCAAATCTGGTATTAGACTTTTTCCACTTAATAAAAGTATTATAATATTAAAAAGATATACAATTTTTCTTATGGATTATATGTAATATGGATTTCGTGAAACATTTTTTAATAAAATCTATACATATATACCTATTTAAAAATTCGACTAAAATCACCTGAGATTTTTGTGGTATGCTTTTTAATTTATCTTTCTTCCTCCTCTATCCTCACTACTTTCTTTCTTTGTTATTTTTCACTGTTCTTATTTCTCTCGGTTTTTCGTCTCCTTTTATTCTTTATTTTTCTTATTTTATTTTTTTATAAAATTATTATTAACATATATTTACTATTTAAAAATAATAATTATTAAATACTTGAGAGAAAGAAACATTTCGTGTCTCTAGATATTTTTAAAAGTAAAATAAATAAAAAAATATATATAAGTGTGAACAGTTATTTATAATTAGTTAACGACATTTATTAAAAAAAAAATTAAATTAAGGAATAATTACAAAAAAAAAATTTTCTTTATTTATGTATATATTTAAAATTAACTAATATTTATTTTTGTTAAATTTAGACTAAATTACAATTTCAGTTTTTTAGGGGATAATTTCAGTTTTTTTTTATCTCATTTTCACTTCACTTTATTACTTTTGTGATATAAAAATAATAAATTTAGTTTTAATATAATTAAATTTTGATTGTCATGCCATATACTCAATAACATATCATAAGTGACGATATAATAATTTTGATAATCAATAGGTGGAGATTTGTAAAGAGGATCAAAATTACAAATTTTATAAAATTAGATACTAAAATTTTGGAAGTAAAAATAGAGTGACCAAAATTACAGATTTGATATTACATGAGAATTCAAAAGTATAATTTAATCTAATATAAATAATTATAAATTTCTTTTAATAATAGCTAATGATTTTTTTATAATAATATAAATAAATTTGTTATTTAATGACTTTTTAATAAGTTAAATTATATTTTTACTTTTACTTTTTTTTATCTTAATGTTAAGGTTTAGTTATTTTATCTATATTTCTTTTAATAGTTTAATGTAAAATTTATTTTATTAAATTTACCTACTTTAAAATTTAATGGACAAATGAACAAAAAGAGATTATATAGTGAAATCGCATGAAAATAAATTTCTCAATAAATAAATATAATACTATTTTTAAACTTTATGGATTAATTAAACTCATTTTCACACAATTTTTATTGAGTTTATAACTTTTGTTTAAAATAATTGGATAAAATAGAACCGGTCTAATGGTAGAAGCTGTGGCAGCATATCCATAATCTTAAGTTTGAACACCGTTGTCATCTTTTTAATTCATATAGATAAAAAATAATAATTAAGTTGACTAATTTTCATATAGTTGAATAATGAATAAGTTTCATCTTTTGAATCAATAAAAAAAAATGCATCCCAAAATTGAAACATTATTGTTCAAGAAGACCAAATCGATTTTAAATTTAAAAAATAAAATAAAAGATCAAAATAAATTTAAAAAATAAAATAAATAAAAACATATAATTTAGTTATTTTTAATATAATAAATAAGCTTTGTGATATGAAATTATGACTGTGAATTCTTTTAAAGAAAGTATCAAAATTGGGTGGTATTATACTTTTTTCCAGTTGTAAAATGTCTCCTGGTATCTGAAAATATACAAATTTTGATTTATAATATGTAACATAGATTTTCTAAAGCTTTTTTGATGAAATTTATACACATGCTCCACTCCAACAATCCCACAAATTGTGATTTTTTTTTTTCATTATTTCTCTTCTCTTTATTTCTTGTATCTCTATCCTTTCTTCTTCTTCTTTTTCTATATCTTTCTCACTTTTCTTTCATTCTCACTAAAGTAGACGATTAATCAAATCCAACGAACAATTACGGATTGAAAACGAAAAGAGAATGCATCAAAATCTATAAATTACTCATAAATAATTCACCAGAAGGAACTAGGGAGGTACCTTGGTAGTATCATTAGGAGTGAGGTGCTTGGCAACGCCGTTGGTTAATTGGTGAAAAGGTCCAGGTTCCCCATCTAGCCACGGAAGTTACAGTATTTAGATTTTTTTTGTTCTTGATGATGTCCTCGAGTGTCATATTAAGAGTTGCAACTGCAGACATGGTTGGAGATTCGAATTTAGGGTTTCCCACAAATCTAATGAGACTTGAGAATGAAATGGGAACATTGGGTAGCAAAGGTTACAGGAGAAGGGTATTGTTTCATGGATTAAAATTAAATGTGCAGCTTCCAGAGACAAATAAGGATTTTTAAACAATATATACCATTTTTTTTTCTAAATAAGAAATATGAAATTTTCATGTTTTTGACATTTGACTGTTGACTATACTTTTTTGTTAAATAGAAGATATATAATTATTATACACGATAGGATTCAAATAAAAATATGCTTTGGATGGAGAAGATTGAGATAATTAAAAATATGAAACATAACTTTAATTCTCATTATAATTATTTTTATAATTTTTTATTATTTTTAAAATATATATATCTCGCAGAAACGATATATGAAAAAACACGATTCAGATAAAGAATTTTTAACATGTCTTGATACAAATATACAACATTTTATTTTCTAATTTATAAATAAGTAATTTTAATATGTTTGACATTTGACTTTGACTATATTTTTTGTTTAAGAAAAAATATAAAATTTTATATTCTTTTTAAGTAGCAATATCAGGTTCTTTAAAATTTATTTATTTATTATTTTTAAAATTTAACTTATCAAGAGATGCATACTGCATGTTTGTTTAATTTTTTAAATTAAAAAATATGTATTTTCATTTTTTATATGTTTGAATAAATTGTTTTAAAGAAAAATTAATAATGTATCTATTCAATTTAGTAATAATTTTTATTCGGTTCTTAAATTCATTTTTAAGTATTTTTCAAAATTTAACATGTCTTGAAAATTTTATATACGGCATGTTAATTTAAAAAAATTAAAAAAAATACTAAATAAGTAGTTTAGTTATTTATTAGTTTCTACAGTGTAACATTACTTCAAAATTGTGTTTCCTCTCTAGTTTGGGAAATTGTACTATGAGAGGGACGCACAAAGAGGTTGAATGATAATAAAAAAATAACACTTAAATACTTTTGTATTTTTCTCATACTACTCTTGTGGTAAGGATTGTTCCTTTCAACCTACATGCTGTGTTAAAGTTGGTAAAATAGCCATGTCTTATTAACATATAATTAAGAATTTGAATATGTGTAAAAAAACATTTTTGAATTAAATGCGTTTTTATTTCTCAAAATTTAAATATTATTGTGAAATTTTAGTCCTCAAATTTTAATTGAATAATTTTAGTTCATCAAATAATATAATTATATAATTTTAGTTATTTTTAATTTTAACCATTTTGAATAAAAATATAATAATTTTTTGTTGATATAATACTAATTTTACAGATTATATTGAAATAAATATAGTTTTATAACATGATGGGTAACACAAACGACTATATATTATTGACATGATGCAATAGTGTCATATAAATATATATATATATATATGTATATATATATATATATATATAA